AAATTGCATAGAAGAGCAAATTCAAGGACCAGGGCTTGAAAACTCCTGAGTCTTCTCATTAATGGATTCCATCTGCTGTCAGAAAAAGATGGAAGTCTTAAAAGATTTTTTTAAATTCAGGATTAGCAGAGAAAAGAGATTTTTTTTTTCTTTCCCTCCCCTTTTCAAAGAACTGTGAGTGCACTGGGAACAATTTCCTACTCATCTTGTGATGTAATTTTATTTCTGGAGTTGCAGCAGCAAAAAAGAGGAAGATAATTCAAACTCCTTTCCCCTCCCCCGAGCAGAAGGAAAAGCTGTTAAAATTATTTCTTAAAACCACTCTTAGAAAATGCATCTGGAATATGCATGAAATGAAAGTTATGATTTAGGGATGTGCAAACAGGTTTGGATGTAATATTTAAACTTGAGCCCCAACTACCTTTTATGAACTCAGAATAAATTTGACACCCCTTCTGCCTCCTCATACTGGTGGGCTACTGTCATTAAACTATGCAAGTTCAGAGTAAAGTTGAAACAAAGCCCGAACACAGAAGTAGAAAGCTTTTCCTTGTAAGCTGTCTAATCTAAGGGCTACTTTCTAGCTGACCATATGTTGGCATGATAGAGACAAATGGGAACGCAGGTATAAATGATACAGAAGGCAGGGTACACTTATACCCGATAGACTAACTTAATCAGATACGTAGCATAAGTTTTTGTGAACCCAGGCTTACTTGATCAGATGCTGTGAAAGCACATGCACAGAACAGCATGTAAAAAAAAATCCATGTGCACTCTGTCTTTGGCAGTCCCCTGCACGTGAGGATGATTGTTTTCCGTGGTTGTCTTATCCGTGAATCTGAAGATGGCTGTTGAGGCCTATCTGGAATCGACAGACTACTGCAGCTTGAACATGTGTTTTCGTGTGGGGTGGGTGGTGCTGGATTCTCAATTTCGTCTACAACACACTGTTTCTGCTGCTCCTGCTTTTCCATCCCTGTTGTTGTCATGAGGTGTCAAAGTACTGAGATCCCTGTAGCAGACTTTTCCTCCAATTGGGGCAGTCCTGTGTGATAGTCTCCCACGAGTTGATATTGATGTTGCTTTTTTTTTTTTTAAGCTGGCTTTGAGGATGTGCCTGAAGCACTTCCTCTGCCCTCCTCTTAGGCATTGCATCTTGGTGGAGCTGGGAGAATAAAACTTGCTTTGGAAGTCGGAGCTAGACATCTGGATGACATGGATGACAGATGATGTTGGATATGATCATTGCCTCGATACTTGCAATGCTGGCTCGCAGGAGAACACGAACATTGGTGTGTCTGTCTTCCCACCAGATTCAAATGATCTTCAACAGGCAGCACTGATGGCAGCAATGTACAAGTTTAGGTGTCTCCTGTACGTTGTCCATGTCTCAGCTCCATACAACAAGGTGGCAATCACGTCTGTTTGATAAACCACAAGTGTGCTTTTGGATCTGATGTCACGATCTTAAAACACCTGTTTCTTCAGGTGTCCAAAGGCTTGACTTGCACATTCGAGGCGATGTTGGATATCTTCGTTGATGTCAGCCTTCAGTGAGAGATGACTTCCGAGGTATGGGAAATACTCAAGGTTCTCTGGAGTCTGACCATGGATCTGGATTACTGGAGCTGGGGACTGTTTGTTAGGAGCTTGTTGGTAGTGGACTTCAGTCTTCTGAATGTTAAGCGTCAGTCCTATTTTCTTGTATGCCTTGGTAAAGATGTTGACTATTGCCTGAAAGCCTGCTTCTGAGTGAGCACACACTACAGCATCATCAGCGTACTGGATTTAAATGATTATGGTTGGGGTGGCCTTGGTTTTGGCTTATAGTTGGCCGAAGGTAAACAGCTTATTATCCATTTAGTAGTTTAGCTGCACTCTGGCTATAAGTTTGTTTATGGTCAGCTGTAGCATCGCGGAAAGGAATATTAAGAAGAGCATTGGAGAGATGACACCACCTTGCTTCCTCTCTTTTTTAAAAATGGGGACCACATTGGCCATTTTCCAGTCCTCTGGCACCTCACCAGAGCACCATGAGTGCTCGTAAAGTTGTGCCAGGGATCCTGCGATGACCTCTGCTAATTCCCTCAGAACTTGGGGGTGAAGATCGTCCAGACCTGTTGATTTAAATACATCCAGTCCCTCCAGAAGTTCCCTGACTAGGTCCTCTCTGACCCTAGGCCTGGGTGCGCCTCCCCTGGGGACTACAGGGGTCCCAGTGTGTGGGATGACCCGATCCCTGCTCAGAAAAATTGAGGCAAAGAAATTGTTAAATAGGTTAGCTTTGCTGTCTGATGTAACAATCAGATTTCCTATCATGTCCTGCAGAGGCCTCACATTGCCCGGTACCTTCTTTTTACCCCCTATGTATTAAAAAAATTACTTCTTGTTTCTCAGATTTCCTTGCTTCCTTGCTTGCCAGATTTCTTTTGCAGCCCAGGCGATGCACCTGAGTTCTCACTTGCAATAACCTTGTTGTTCTGGTCCTTGACTGTCTCTTGAGCAGAGACTGATAGTCATGAAAATAGTTAATAGATGGGCAAATGTCTGGAAGTTTAGAGCCCCCTACAGAGAACACTGATAATGCCTTGTTTGTAAACTAAGTTTTCAACATTAACCTCCAGGTGAGATACATTTTGTATCTCTTCAAAGTTTTACGTTTTACAAGAGCCACTCAGGTTTTGTGTGTATGTAAGTGGCGAGCAGAAAAGGCTTAAGTAGGTTGCATAAATAAAGTGACACACAGTCACACGGGTTTTGCAGGATCAATAGCGCTTGTCATATTCTTCAAATGGCTGCTCCAGTGCACCTCTTCATCTCAGCTTGTATCCATTCCTTCTCTTTCTAGTTTCTTCCTTATGTCTTTTATCACAGTAATTCTATCTGCATAGTTACAACAAGCAGCTCAGACACCCTGGTTAACGGGGGCAGCCCCAGTGCCTGGAAACAAAAGCCAAAACATGCAACCTGCCAAACCCAATGAAGACAAAAACAGCTGATTCTAAGATGAAACATGTTAAATTTATGAATAGGCTTATGTGACGTGGCTGCACATGACAGCATGGGACTCAGTGACCCAGGAGATCATTTCCAGGCCTATGTTCCTAAATCTCTTTCTTTCCAGCACAGGATCAACAAGTAATGTTTGTTATTACTCTTTGTTTTTTTCCTGCCCCTGAGCAGATGTACTGTTTCAGTAATGAATGAGCTGTCCAGAAATTTTCCTCCTCCCCAACTGTCTTTACAAGTACTGCAAGCACATAAGGCAACTAACAGCTACGTTGCATATCCCCAGTCCTCCTGCCAAAGAAAAAAGTTTTCACATCAGGAGGCATTCTATTGATTTTTGCAGGAAGTGTCAGAGAGTCTGTGACTTCTCAAGATGAGTAAGAATATGAGGATCTGGCCTTAAATTTTATTTTGCCTTCTCCTTCCTTTAATGAAAGTAAATCACTTTTATTTTGTGTAGATGTGCATAAAATACTTCATATATCAAGCTCCACATTAAACTATCTTGTAAAGGAAGAATAACATATGAGCTATTACACAAACTATAGGTAATATATGTTGCCGAATCTGATACAGTAATAGGAGCTCATCAATCAATGAATAGGTCAAAATCTGTCAAGATTTGCTGTAGGTCTTCATCATTTTCTTGATGTATGCTAAGCAAAGCAAGCCCAGTAAGGCAGCTCTAAGTCAAGTTGTTGCTCAGCTAAATCTTTACCTTTGTCAGGAGTAGTAGGTCATAAATGAACTCATTCCACTGTGGTTCTATTTATCAATATTTTATTGATTCATGTATACCAAAGAATCATATATATAATCTTGTTCCTCTTCACAGTTGGGTTGTGATTCAAGAGCCTGTGCTGCACTAAATACTGAGGGGAGACCGAGAACTCAAAGTGGGGAACTCCATGTTGTTTGTATTAATCCAGAAGATGATAATAGAGGTAGTTTTCCACAGGCATGAATGGCAGTTAGGTTTGTAATTTGCATTGACTTTCAATGAGAGTTGGGTATCTAGCCACCATGTATACATTTGGAAATCTCCTCCAATAGTCAAATGTGTGCAATAGATGCACACTGAAGCATTATAAAAAATATGTTTTAGTGGATTTGCAAAAGTGAGACGAGATTTCCATTTCTGGGTGTTCACTGTGCTTGTATCAAAAGTCCCTTGGAGCTGTTCCAAGCTGAGCACAGAAAAAACTGGTCACCTTTCAATATCTTACCTTTCGGTTGACTTCATGCTTCACTGAAATGCAACCAGTTCTGGCTGGAAGAGAAAATAGTTAATAGAACCCATGGGATGATACACAGAATGGTAGGACTGAAAGTGGAGAAGAATGGTAGAAAAGAATCTGGTTTATATTTAAAACACAGGGGATTTTAGGCAGGCAGCACATAACTGCCCAAATTAGACTTGGAGTCTTCCAGACTTAATACCTGATGCCAAAAAAAAGCAAGCAATTTTTAATGGACATAGGCAGGCAGTCTCAGAGTATTGTATCTTCTTCAAAAGCTGGCATTATTTATTTATTTTTTTGTTTCACATTTTTATTGTACCTGCTGCTTAATGCAAGATTGACAGAAGGTATGATTGTAGCTAATATGCTAGTGACAATAATAAGAAAGGAAAGGAAGTTCATCCTTGGTAGCTGGGGTAGATTTTCATCAGATTTTTTGTCTGGCTCATCTATTGTGCAAATCATCTCAACTTTCGCCTGAAACTCAAAATAAAATGCATGGGAGTGCAAGCCCCTGAAAAACAAAGCTGCTAAGTTTTGCACAGTTCTAATAATAAGGAAACATGTGTCCTGTGCCCTTCCTCATTATTTATCTCATTATCTCCTGACTTTTCCTTTAGTTCTATAATTACACAATCTTAAAAGAAAATGGCAAAGAAAAAATAAAAAACTCCTACAGTTCTTCAGCAGATGGAAAGTAATAATGTTCTTTTCATGGTCTCTATTTTTTCCCCCTTCCTCTACATGCTCTGGGGAAAGAAATGACACATCTAAGCATTTAGTACCTGAAGGGAAAAAATAGATATTTTCAAAATTTAGGGATGAATCTGACTGAAACAATGGATCCAACTCAACCTGAATTCTGAGGAAGTTCTCTTTCTGATCTCAGCTTCATGATTCTGGCCTTTTTTCCCCCTGAGTATATTATTGCAATCCACTGTGGAGGCAGGGTAGGTAAAAAAGATGATTTGGCCTAATAGTTATGGCATCAAGCTAAGTTTTGGTTTGCTGATTCATACATACCTAGCTCTGCCACTGATCTGTTATGTGCATGATGTTGCTACCTTTCCAAAGATGCTGGGGTGGGATGTCCATTTTCAATCCAAAGTGGCTGTACAACACTCGTATCTGAATGGTAATATTTAATACCCAGCCTGGAGTGATATAGACAGTAATGCAGTATTACAGTTGCAAAGCTGCTGTCTGTTAATCAATGAAGAAGAATACATAATAATGGTAAGAATATTGTGAGTGACCTAGTGATGTGATGCAAAGTTGTTCTACAAGTCTGGAAGTTACTACAAATTAATTTATGAACAAATAGAGCTAACTTAATAAAGGGTCATGGGAAGAGCCAACAAGACCCACTCAATAAGTCTAGATAAGGATACCCTAAAGCATGTGATGGGCTAGTAGGGGGTGCTTCTGTGCTGTGCCACCTGCCTCACTGTGCCCAGCCAAAAACCAAGCTTTGGATGCCTCTCCAGGGGTGCCAACTTATGGCCAACCCCCTTAATGGAGTGCACCCGCAAGCCTGGGGTACCACTGCCACCACCCAGACTTAGGTCTTTGTCTGGGCCCCATGCCATCTGGGATACACAGACCCTGTAGGACCTAGGGGTTACATAATTCCTGCAGGATATATCTGGGTTACATAATTCCTGCAGAATATATCTGGGTGTTTCTTATAGCCTGAAGCATAAAAAGTAGCTTCCCTTAGTCAGTCTAATAAAGGGAGCAAGAAGGCCTGTCCATTCTCTCTCAAGCATATACAGCAAGGCTGGCTATATTAGACAGCTTTTTTGTAGAGAGGGTAGGCATGAAGAGGGGTACAAGTCAGAGAAATTGCAAAAGAATAACCCTGAGCAAACAGAAATGGCTTGATTACCCCTTGATATGCGAGTAGAGTACATTAAACTAAGTTTCTAGTTACTTTTCTGGTAGGTTACTCACTTCCACATCCAGCAAATGAGGGATAGCTGCGGTGGTCCATGTTTCTGTGTGTGTGTTTTAAAATGTCCGCCCCTTTCTTTCTGCAGGGACCCTCTTAAATAGCCCTCCTGACCTCACCACCTGGACCCAGTCAGGGACAGGTGTTATTTGATGCCAGCCAATCAATTTGAAAAACATCCCAGTTACCTAATGGAGTGACATGGGCTTAACCCCTTACCTCCATGTCATGAGGTCAGAGCTCCAAA